GAGGCCGAGACGGATTTCTCGCTTTCGCTGGCATGACTCCTCCAAAGAGGCTCCAACAAGATCCATCATCCATGGGCTGTGGGCGGGAAGCGGAGACGAGACGAGAGTTCGCTTCCTTCCGATACACTCAGCCCTTTTTTTGGTCCTGGTCAGTGTTCCTTTGCCCCTCTCACTCAAACAAAAGCTTACGTCGTCTCATCTCACTCATCTCAACATTTCCACGCCAACGGTGCTAGGTCCTCACGGCAGTGTAGGCTTCTTTGGCTTTCAACACCTGCTTACAACGGCTGCCAAGACCGACTTGAGGATTCACAAGTGTGGGTTCCCACTTCCCAGGCATTCTGTGACGAACTCTCGCGTGGCTTGGGCATCTATCGAAAGCGAGAACGGGGACTGGGCGACCGCGTCTGAATAGCCGCCTGTGGACCAGGTCTTGGATGTTTCTCAGACCAACAAGCGCACTCAATCTTTGGTACCAGTGTATCACCACCTACTACCGACCTACCATCAACTGTCTCGTGACTACCAAAGTCCTCTCTTTTCTCCGTCTATCCGCCAGTCTGCCTACCAAACTCCGTACTGCTCACCGTCTTTCTTCTCGGAAATGGCGAGGGATTCATTACGCCAAAACGTCCCCGGTCGTACAACCAAATAGACGCCGCTTCGGGCAGACAACCGACGCCCCCCGCCATCGTCATTGGCCAATCTGCAGGGGTGCGACTCGAGTCGACAAGGATCCCATCTGAGCCCGGCGCTTGCGCCTCTTCCCCATCACATATGGCTGCCCAAAATAGCCAACCATAACTGGAGCTGCCTGCGACGAGGGGGTGTCCTCCTGCGTGCGACGCATTCCTTCCTTCAATCGCGTCTATTGTCTGTTCCTCCAGTCACACTGCATTGCATATATGTCTGTCTAGCGGCGCCTCTTCAGACGGCCACCCAGAGACTCCAGTTTGAATAAACCCCTCTCACAAAAAACCAGCAACTCTAACCGTTGCACCACTTGCAACCTAATCTATATAGCCGCCATCCCTCTCTTTCCTACATCTCGTTGATTGCTGGTTTCCCCCCTCTTTCTGAACTGATTTGTCTCATCCCGGTGATTCCAACAGTTCGGGAGGCTAAGGTCGTCACTTGACCCCTGTACGACCCAACCTGCTGGCTATCTAGGCTGAGCCGCAGACTCATCAACTTATACCACTCTTCCGGGTCCAACATTGGCACATCACGTGGTCACGATGGCTACTCAGACTGGAACCGCCTCAAGAAGGCCAAAGCTGTCGTTGAGCATCAAGACATCACCGGCACCTCACACAAGAATCAACAAGTCCTTTTCCGTCATCGATCCCAAGGACCCAACCACCTTCAACACCCTCTCCAACGTCTATGTTACCGCCATTGAGAGGTCGACACCCACCGCGTCAGAACCGCTCACGGCCATCAATACCTCCCAGCCACAGCCCTCGCGCTTGCAGAATGGTTCAAAGACACCCCAACTACGCATCCAGACGCCCTACGCAGTCTCCTACCCCGAGACGCCGTTGACCGCACACCCTCTCTCGCCCGGCGTCGCAATGGAGATTACCTTTCCAAGCACCATGACAGCCACCCCGCCTCTCTCTGCGGGCCCCGTAGAGCCCAATCAAGGTCCCCAAATGTTTGGCTTCTCGCCAATCGACACCAAGACGCCCCTTACAGCAATCGGCTTCATCACCAACCAACCGGAGCCGCGCTCGCAGAGGAAACGCAATAACAACCTGACCCTCGTTGGCTCAAAGCTGCCTTACACGCATCCTCGCTCCCTCCACAGCATCCTCCGCAACTCGCCTCTCCCTCCGCCGAGTGCCAAAACCCCCATCTCACCGCGCCGGCAGTCCTTGCGCTTGCAAGAAAAGGCGGCCCGCCGTGTAGCCTACAACAGCCCCATCGAGCAGACAATAACAACGGAAACGTACACAAAGTCCCACATTGACCTGCTCGTCGAGGATGTCGTTTCCCCGGCATCACCGGCGGCAGCGGCAGCAACAGCAGCAGCAGCGGCGGCGGAGACGGCACCGGCACCGGGCCAGGAGGAGGCCAACACGGTGCTGGACCTCGCCATGGCGTTCACGAGCGACGAGACCCGCGACGGCGGCATGACGCCGGGGCCGTTTGAGGAGATGCGGCGTCGGATGGCGGGGCTGGCGGCTAATTCGCCGCCAGTCAGCCCGTCCGGCGGCATCAGGAAGCGGACCAAGCGCAAGGAGAAGAAGAGGCGGTGGGTGTGGACGATTGGGAACCAGGAGGAGGATGAGGAGAATTTGGGGGGTGCCGTGGCGGCTTTGCGGGCGGCCGAGGCGGCGGCGGCAGCACAGACGCCGGTATTGTCTATCCCTCAAAGGAAGCCCGTGGTCGCTCCTCCCCCTCCCATTGTGGAGGTGCAGACCTACGGCGATCTCCCGACGCCTAGCGTCGAGACGTTTGAGAAGGCCGCTGGGGAGGCGGAGGACGTTGAGATGTCGGATACAAGTAGCGTCTCATACTCGTGTTCCGATCGGGGTTTGACGCCTGGGGATATGGAGATGGACCTGACGACGCCGACGGTGCCGAAGCGTCTCGTTTCACAGTGCGACAGGCTGGGGTCGGCGGACCTGATTAACCCGGATACTGGGAGTCGGCGGGACACGCCTATACCTCCGGATATGGTCGTCCACTGATGGGAGTGCGAGCTGCTTAGAGGAAGAGGAGCTGGTGTGGGATCTAATTTGGTTGAGGTTGGACTGGACTTGACAAGAGCAAATTGCATCTGCGTGGTGTTTAGGGAGCGTCATTTGATCAATGGTGGTTTTTTATGTAGGATTATGTACATGTACTAGTGGAGGTTATCATGAGAAACACGACGCACTATGAACCATACCCTCGGTACTCTCTGCTCGATGACTGACGTTCCTCCGCGTGTTCCAGCCATGGCCTAGCAAGACTGGGAAGAGCCAATGCTGAGGTTTTCGGACACCAGAACATGCTTTCTGGTAGCGGTATACAAATGGGAGCTTGGACGAAAAGTGGCGCGAACTTGTGGCGGCTAAAAGACCAGTCTGGCCAGCGATGAATTCACAAACCAACAATCTTCCCTGTCTGGGTATCACCCACCAAGATCCTATATATTAGCGGCCGACAACGAAGCGATGAACGGAAAAGTTGAAACGACAAAACGAAAGATGAGCCTGGCGACGTGAACAACACAGTGTTGGTTGTGTAACAGCAGAGGTGATTGAAAGCGGGGGGGAATCAATGATGAAAATGTGGACTGACGGAACGCTGGAGCTTGGCTTGCGTAACATCCGGCAAGGTGGTTTATTTTTGCTGCTGCTGTTACCAAAAAAGACAGGCCCTGTAAACGCAATCGTCGCTTCTCTCCTCCCGCCGGCCGGGACAAGCGGCACCCCATGTTCCATGCCCTGTCAGGTCGTGGCTGTCCAGTGAGCCGCCCGGAAGGTTTGCGATAGACTGACCTCACACTTTTTGACAAACCTGGACGACGATCAGGAGCCGCCTCGGGTACGATGGTATCTACTGTACGCATATGTTGGCTTATCTGTGTTACCTGGGATAGAAAGATTGATACCGTTGATAACAGTTTCTCCAAGAAATAGGTAGATATCTCCTGAGTCCTCTCTCCATCTGAATACGAAGAAGATGAGCATATGAATCCACATTAAATCAACCGACCATCATGAGCCGGACCAAACGTTCCCCTCATCTCCAGCTGTCAAGCAGCACAAGCTCGACGAGGAGTGAGCTAATCGCAAAAGCCAAGAGGCCGGGGTGAAAGGCCAATGAACACGCGGCCCAGGCCATGTTGTTTTCCCTTTGCCAGCCATGTACGCAAGCACATTGTGCGATCCCTACTGCAGATCGGCCACAGGCTTGTCGCATCGTCTTTTGTCACGCAGTCCATTGAAACATGCGGGAAAACAGGAAATTGAGCAACTCTGATGAATAGTAGTGTAGGGCTGGAAAGCTGGCTTTTCGCCTAAAGCCATCCCAGTCCAGCGTGTCCCATTCAATACTTTTAGGTAGGTAGGTAATCCAAAAAGGGGGCTGCAGTCTGGCTAGACCTTGGGGCCATTGAGCGTGGAGCGTTCCAGCCACGGTGGCAGAGGGACAGTCCTACCGCGTCTCTAGTCCTGGCAACTTGACCCGGAGGAATGTTTGTGGCTGCGAATTATCATGAACATGTCACTTCATCGGGATGTATACCAGTGATACTAGGTGTCAGTGAAGCGACAGCGCGCAATAGGCACGGAAGGTAAGGGAAAAGCGCAGGGCAGGCCGGGGCAAGAAGATGGGAGTGACGGCTACGCTTGGACCAGGCCAAAGTACCGGAAACTTCTTCCGTCATAGGGGGGCCTGTAAGGAGCCGGGGGCTTGCTTCGGGGGTGGGGCCGCGCCTGGCTGTTAGTGGGCTTTTTTCCCGCCATCAAAGTCGCAAGTTCGCAAGACACGCTACGTCATTGACCATCACAGCTTCCCACCCAGCCTGCTCTGTTGCTGCACCCACAAGCTGCAGCTGAAGGGACAGAGGTGCTAACCCAACCTGAGGTAATGTACACTATGTACTAAGTAGGTAATCATGGTGAAGCGAGCTAGCTGGCTAGAGCTGAAGGGGAGCTATGAGGCAATTGGAGGGGCTCGTTTCCCACCTCGTCCATTTCATGGGATTGCCGGTTGGTTAGGTTCCCTTTTCCCCCCTTTGCCCTGCTGGTCTGCTGGATGATCTGCATCCCTATGATTATATCCCTATCCCCCGAGACCTTTAACCTCCGCACATTTCGATCTTGCCTGTGTGGTCTTCCTCTGCTCAATTCTCTTTGCCTTTTTGCTCTTTCTTGTTTACCCAAACACTAGGCAACTGATTTCGATCTTTGACAGCGTAGTCTCAGCTACGACTGGTCTATAATCTCCATCCACATCCCAGACAATAACACCCTAGAGAATCAGGCGTTGTCCATGGTAGCAAGATGAACTACGACGAACACACGGTGCCGACCGGCGGCCAACACTACAGCGGCCGAAACCGCATCCCCAACATTCACGAATTCGTTGCCCAGCTCGACAAGGAGAAGCGCGAGCGCGACGCTGCCATTGAAGCCGAGGATAAGGAGCACGCGAGGATCGCCAAGGAGGCTGCCCGCCAGCAGCAACAGAACGGCAACGCCACACGGCAGCAACAGCAACAGCAACAACAACAAAATCTCCAAGACACAAAGGATCATGTCCCCGAGAAACCAAGAGGTGCTCGCAAGAAGACCAAGACCGTGCGGGATCCCGTCACTGGCAAGGATGTCGAGATTGAGAACCCAAAGGAAAACTTCAAGGACGTTGTTGAAAACCCTCACGTGAGATCATCCCAGAATCCTTCGTTTCTCGCCGGGCATCAAGTCCCGCCCGCTCTGGAACCCGTGCTAACACGACAATTGGCAGATATCCGTCCCCAACAAGAACCTCGGAAAGGACGCTACAGTCTCCACCTCCCCTAACCAGTCCGGCGAGGAGTACCGATGGGCCCAAGATGTCACGGCACCGCCCGACCCCGTCGAGCCCGGTAGCACCACCGACGTGCCCATTCACAGCGAGAAGACCAACGTGAACTTTTTCCACACCCCCAGCGTCAGCTACGAGCCCATGTTCGAGCACCTCGAGAGACGCGGCAACATTTTGTGCGCTGGTATCTTCTTCGCCATCGTCATTGTCGGCAAGTTCTTTGGCGGCTCGCTCTATGGCCTGCTTCCTCTCGGAGCTTGCGTCGCCTCTGGTGTCTTTCTGTGGATAAAGGACCTCATTACGCAGGGGAGAAACACCGAATGGTCTAGTGAGCAGGCGCGTGGCGAAACAGCAACCGTCAACCTGGTCCCCGAATCCGTCGAGGTGCGTGGTACTCATTTCTGCACAGCGATGACATGAAGCTAATAAAGCTCAGTGGATGAACACCGCCGTCGGCATCATGTGGAATCTTATTAATCCCGAGATGTTTGCTGGCGTTGCCGATACGCTTGAGGATGTCATGGTTGCTTCAGTGCCCGGCGTCATCGAGAACGTGCGCGTTGCCGACATCTCTCAGGGCAGCAACCCGCTCCGTATTCTCAGCTTGCGCGCCCTTCCCGATAGCCACGTCAAGGACATCAAGGACGAGGCCCACAAGCAGAACCAGAAGAACACTGACCCCAACGAACTGGCTGCCATGGAGCAGGCTGGTGACTTCTACAACCTGGAGGCCTCAGTTGCTTACCACGCGAAGCCGTCTGGCTCTGACGTTTCGTCAAAGGCTCGCAACATGGGAATGCAGCTTGTCTTTTACCTCGGTATTCGAGGTCTCTTTGGTGTCCCCCTCCCAATTTGTAAGTACACCAAAACAATCCATATCTCTGGCTTCATCTGACGACTCGTAGGGGTTGAACTTCAGGGACTTGTCGCAACCGCCCGTATCAGATTGCAGCTTACCCCTGAACCGCCGTTTCTCAAGACCCTCACTTTCACTCTGATGGGTATTCCCAAGGTTCAGGCTGGTTGCACGCCAATGATTGAAAAGGGAGTCAACATTCTGAACCTGCCTCTCATCTCCAACTTTGTCAACTGGGCCATCGGCACCGCCGCTTCAATGTACGTCGCTCCCAAGAGCATGACTCTTGACTTGAGCAAGATGCTGCAAGGCGACGACATCAAGAAGGAGACGCTTGCGCTCGGATTACTGTTCATCCGTATCCACAAGGCAACGGGCCTCAGCAAGCAAGACCGCCGGGGCAGTGAGGGTGGAGGCTCCGACCCCTACATCACCGTCGCTTGGAGCAAGTTCTCCAAGCCCCAGTTCTGTACCCGTGTCATCCAGGATGATCTCAACCCCGTCTTCGAAGAGAGCTGCGGTCTGTTGGTCACAGCCGATTTGATCAAGGCGGATGAGCAACTTTCGGTCGAACTTTGGGACAGCGATCGCTCGTCCGCGGACGATGTCGTTGGCAAGGTCGAGTTGAGCATTCAGAAACTCATTCAGCACCCCGGCAAGATGTTCCCCCAGGTTTCCAAGCTTGCTGGCGTCAAGGCCGAGACCTCTATGCCTGGCGAGCTGCACTGGGAGGTTGGCTTCTTCGGCAAGACCCAGTTCCGCAAGGCTCTTCGTACCGATGGTAAGGACGTCAATCTGCCTCCTGAACTGAGGGACAAGAAGGAGCTTCAGGACGAAAAGGGCACCATTGAAAACGACATGGAGGATGCTGTCGAGCACACTCCTCCCGACCCTCTCTGGCCCTCTGGCATTCTCAGCATCGTCGTCCACCAGATTGTTGGATTGGAGCTCGCCAATGTGAAGGGTTCCAACGGCAAGCGCAAGGGACGCGAGTACGAACCTGCGCGCCTCGACGCTGGCGAAGTCAAGGAGGAACAGGGCAGCAAGCTGCCAAGTTCCTACTGCACAATTCTCGTCAACGATGAACTTAACTACAAGACACGTACAAAGGCGGTCTCCTCGCAACCCATCTTCAACGCCGGTACCGAAAAGTTCATCCGCGATTGGAGGTCTGGCATTGTGACAATCACTGTCCGCGACTCCCGCAACAGGCAACACGATCCCATCATTGGCGTGGTCCCTCTAAAGCTTTCCGATATTTTGCGATCTGGAAGTGAAGCCACAAGATGGTACCCTCTCGATGGCGGGGTTGGATACGGAAGAATCCGCATTTCCCTTCTCTTCAGGTCTGTTGAACTGCGTCTGCCTCCTGCTCAGCTTGGCTGGGATGTGGGTACATTCGAGTTCACGTCTCAGCAAATCACTGCTGCTGGCTACGGTAAACTGAAGACCAAGATTCGCCTTCGTACTGGTGGCAGCTCTTCTAGCATCAAGCGAGACGCTTGTAACAAGCTGGAGGAGCAAGACGGCTTTTCCTGGGACATTAGTGGCGATGAGAAGCATGACAAGATCCGTCTTCCTGTTCGCTACCGCTACAGATCCCCAGTCTTCTTCGAGTTTTACCCTCCCGGCAAGCGTCATGCCGACGCCTTTGCGTCACTGTGGCTCCAGGACTTCCCGGATTGCGAGGAACGCGACTTTGATATTCCCATCTTCAACTGCGACAAGGGTCTGCGCCTGTCACAGAACTATATCACCCAGGACAACTTCAAAGACATCCCTGACATGAAGATTGAAGAAATTGGTCGACTTAGATTCAAGGGTCGTTTCTCCACTGGTACCGATGGTGATCACGTCAAGTTTGTCACTGACAACGATTCGCGTGAGACAATCGAGACCTGGGAGGCCTGTTTTGCAGAGGGAGTACGAGGCGAGGAGGTCCGAGCCGAAGTGCCCCCTGCTGTTCAGAAGCTACATGACGAGTCTCTTACACAAGGCCGCGATGTCCTAGCTCAGACCGACCCGAAAGAGAAAGAGAAGTGGCTCTCCAAGGACGGAACCGATTGGAGCACTGCATTTGGAAAAGATCCCACGCAGATGATGGGTGGCGATAACGAGAATCAGGAAGACCTGAACTCGGAGGGACGTGATGATTTTGATACGGATTACGACGATGATGATAACAGCAGTGAGCCGGATCTCGGGCTCACAGACGCCAGCACTAAAGACACCAGAGCGAGCAGCAACGGCACACGTCAATCGACAGACAGCAACGCGAGTGCGGCTCCCTCAGACGCATCTCAGCAAAGCAACGGAAACGGACCTGTTGCCGCCTACAAGGACTACAAGAGCAGGAGCAGAGACTTGCACCGTCAACATCGGGGTCTGATGCAGTGGCGTCCGATGCGTAATGTGCAGTTCGCCAAGGACGAGGCCAAGTTTGCGATCCGGAAGATTACCAAGATGGGTGCTCTCAACGGTCGCAAGCCCGATGTCGAGACCGAAGTCTAAGTCCGTTCTTTTTGTCGAGAGAAGAGAAACATAGGGGCACGCGACAACGGCTAGTGTTACAGGAAACAGGGTACAGCCCGTTTTTTTTTTTTTTTGATAGCCTTGGTAATGTTTATGAAGTATACCTACATGAAATAAATTGCGATGAATGAGAGGAAGGCGTTTGGAGGTGTATCAGTAGTCAAAGCAGGCAAATAACAGTTTTGAACAATTCTCGACCGTGACTCTGTGTAAGTCATGTCTCCGGAAGAACGTTTCGAAAAAGTCGAGTTATCAGTAGGCTAATCTACCCGCGTCTATTGTGGTCTATCTAACAGAGTCTAGGGGCTTTCTTCTTTATCACTCACGTCTGTCTTCCCCTTTCCACGCCCACCGAACCCCCATCCAATCTGGTTCGCCATCTTGACATGGACCCCAAGCTCATCGGCATACGCATACACCAGACCGGGATTCTTCTGGAACCACCGACCGCACATGATCACATCCAACCCCTCCTGAAGGAACCCCTCCGCCATGGTCCCCGTACTGATCCCACCCACAGCCGACACAAGCATCCTCTCCCCGACAACCTTTTTAATCTCCTTTGCGAAACCGGCCTGGTACCCGGGTCCGCCCTTGATGCTCGTCGCCTGCAGCGGATGAATCCCGCCGGAGCTCACGTCCAGCAGGTCGACGCCCCGCTCCGCGAGTAGAGGCGCCAGCCTACACGAGTCGGCGAGCGTCCAGCTGTGCGGGACGAGGTCTGTCCTGTCGTCGAACCAATCCGTCGCGCTGATGCGGACGAAGAGCGGCATCGTGTCCGGGATCGCGGCGCGGACGAGGGAGGTGATTTCGAGGACCAGACGGGTGCGGGTTTCGAAGGAGGAGGAGCCGTAGGCGTCGGTGCGGGCGTTGGAGATTGGGCTGAGGAATTGGTGGAGGAGGTAGCCGTGCGCGGCGTGGATTTCGACGACGTCGAAGCCGGCTTGGACTGCGCGGCGGGCGGCGGCGACGAAGGCTTCTTTGAGGGATTCGATTTGCGGGAGGGTCATTTCCTTGGGGAGGGGGTATGCGTCGTTGAAGCGGAGGGGGGAAGGGGCGTAGACTTCGTCTGGCCAGCCGTGTGCTTCGGGGGGGGAGGTCGCGTTGGCGTGGACGAAGGGGGCTACGGTGCTCGCCTTGCGGCCTGCGTGGGAGAGCTGGATGCCGATCTTTTGGGACTGGGAGTGGGCGAAGTCGGTGATGCGGCGGAGGGGCGGGATCTGGGCGTCGGACCAGAGGCCTAGGTCTTGCGGGGTGATGCGGCCTTCCGGGAGGACGGCGGTGGATTCCATTAGGGTTAGGCCGGGTCCGCGTTGGAGGATGCCGCCCAGGTGGGTCAGGTGCCAGTCTGTTGCTAGGTTTCCGGCTAGGGGCGAGGCGGAGTATTGGCAGAGGGGGGCGAGGAAGAGGCGGTTCTGGAGGGTGAGGGAGCGGATTTCGAGGGGGGTGAAGAGTTTTGGGAGGGGGGTGGTGGTGGTTGTGGTGGAGGGGAGGATGGCTGTTCCGGAGGGGGGAGATTGGGATGGGGTGTAGTAGGGTGTGTTCTTTGCTGCTGGGTTTTCGATGAGTGAGAGGGGGAGAGGGGTTGGTGATTTGGTGGCGTGGGAGGCCATCTTGAGAGCTGGGTTGGATGGTTGGAGGTGAGGATGTAAGACGAGGTTGGATGGCGGGATAAGGGGCCTATTGGAATGGAAATGAGAAGTTGGCACTTTTATACTGAATAGCGAATTCGATTCGACTTCAAAAGCTTCATCTTAGACTTGGTAGATCGTGTGTTTTGTCAGCACCGTGTACTACCAAGGTCTGTTGCCGACATCTTCTCGGCGCGTGTCGTTGATGGCCGAGTGGTCCGGCCCGTACTGTGGGGCTTCGGCCGTTTGATCCGTGGTGTCAACGGGCCGGGCACGATTCGGTGCGCACCGGAGCACCGTGAACCATCAAGTGAAGGTCTTCCTTCGGGAACTTCTTCCGCTAGGTAAAAAGGATTCTACGTGGTAGCTTCTGAAGAGTGGCCGAGAAGCTTGGCTTGGCGGCTATGAGAATCTGTTGATGGTGTTCGGCACCGGACATGATTCACCGTCGGCCAGATGGCTCATCTTGCCGAGGGTTGATTCTGTACGATGGGTTTTTGCGATTTAACGTAAGCAAGACTCAAATTGCAAGCCAAATACCTCAAGCACAGAGATAATTATTTGAAATTCCTTGGGTTTGGAGAAAAAAAAGTATGCTGATTACTTTACGCCTACTTGGCCACAGTCTTGTAGATGGAGTTATACCCACAAAGCGACTCCTCCTCCAGCGTCGCAAAATCCCGCCCACCAAATCTCTCCGGCTCAAGGGCCTCCAACGTCTCCTGATCTACCCCCTCCCCATTCAAAAGTTCCGTCAAAAACTTGGCCGTCCCAGCAGCGTGAGTAACCCACACAGCAACAGCCATGTGCAACCCAGGCACCGACCTCACCGCGCCAGCGAGCGGCATGTTATCAGGCGTCATGGAGAAGATCCCGTTGAAGCTCCTGCTCTTAGTCTGATCCTCACTCACATCCTCCTCAAACTCCGCCGCGGTTGCGGGAGGTAGCATCTTCCTAGCAGCCTCGAGCGTCTGCCGGAAATCAGGGATCCAGACCCCGATCGCCGTCCCGTCTTCCGCGTTCGGCGCGCAGCCTACGGGCGGGTGGTCGTAGCTTCCGATGCCGTAGCGGGTGCCGTGGTCTCTGGCGTAGACGTGGTGTTCCGGCCAACGCACAAAGGGCAGCGACGTCGATTTCGATTTCGAGTATGAGTTTTCTCGGGGAGGCAAGGGGGTTCGGGTGCGGGCGTGCATGTAGGGGTGTCCGACGGGGATGACGGGGACGGGGAAGGGGAGGTCGCGGCAGAGGTCGCGGGCCCAGATGCCCGTTGTGAGGATGACTTTATCGGCTTCGAGTTGCTGTGCGGAGCCGAGGTCGAGGACCTGGACGCCATTGATGCGGCCGTCTGGTGTGAAGAGGAGCTTCTCGACGGAGCTTTGTAGGAAGTTGACGCCTGCTTTCTTTGCAGAGTCTTGGTAGAATGATGTGATTCTGCATGCGTCGGCGGTCCCGTCGGTGGGGAAGAAGACTGCCGCCCCTGCCCCTGGCGAATCTTTTCCGTCTTCTTCTCTGACGAGTTCCGGCGCGAGTGTATGTGCTTCTCCCAGGCTCAACATCTCAGCGGCTAGGCCGCGCTGTGAGGCGGCTGCGCACCTGGCCTTGAGACGCTCGCATCCTGCGGGCTGGAAGGCGATTTCTAGGCCGCCGACGGTGTCGAAGCCGCCGGGGATTTTGGTGTATTCCGATACGGAGTCGATGGCTAGTTTGGTGAGGACTGGGGACTCGTTGAATTGGCCGACGAAGCCCGGTGCGTGACCTGTTGAGCCGAGGAGGGGACCGAAGGAGCGGTCGATGAGAGTGATTGTTCGTGGAGTGTTTGATGAGGATGATGATGAGGAGGAGAGGAAGTGGGCTAGAGCGGAGCCGACGATGCCTGCTCCGACTATGATGATGGTTTCGCGAGGTTCAGACATTTTGGAGGATTTAGGACTGGGTTGGATGTGTTTGTAAGTGATGTTGTGTGGTACTATGCGAAGAGCTCTTGGGAAAATGATGGGATTATATACTTTTGGTCTCGAATTGAGTACATCCCATGTTGTCATATCATTTTCGCAGTATTCAATGGGCGAAGTCTTTACATGTCTGCCATTGATTCGGGAACCAAGACTCAAGACTTCCGTGTTTGGACAAGGGCGATGGCTTTGACCAATCACATGAAGAGTTCCTTACTCACTTACACCACGAAGCTGAGACCCGCAAGCTTGTCGACACGCCTTTGGATGTGGGATTCAGACAATGCGGTCTAGCGAGGTGGGGCAAACTACTCGCTACAAGCAAACCATCTAAAGCAACTTAAGTTAAGTAGATGCATTGTAACAACTGATTCACATGTAGGTATGTATAAAGAAGCAGAAACTCCCTTGAGAATGCTATCACGATAGTTCAGCAGGGCGGCTACCCTCCACTTCCGCAGCTCTCGTATAAGCCGAAAGCTCAACGGGAGGCGGCGTGGCAGCGTCGACTTCCGTCATCTCTGTTCCATGGCCGGGTAACTCTTGCTTCGCATCGTACCCGAACCCTTTCTGCCCATATCCTTCATTGCCCGTATTGCCCTCATTCTGCGCGGCAATGACGGCCCCAGCCCTCTTTTGCTTCCTCTTCCAAAGGCATATAAGTATCCCGGCACCGAGTAGCAAGAGAACCAGCACCACCGCTCCAACCGCGATCCCCGCAATAGCACCAGTCGAAAGACCTGCCCCTCCAGCAACACCAGAGGCTTGGGAGGAGGGAACACGACCGTAGAGCGGAAAGACGGGGTGTTTGACCGAGAGGGGTCCCCCGGCAACACTGGGGAGACCGGTGAGGGAGATTTCCCTCCACGAGCTCCAGAGCGTCGACTCCCGCCCGCCGCTCGTCGCGATATTGTTGATCCAGATCTCCGTGTTCGTGCTCAGGAGACTGACGCAGTCCCGGTAGGGCGTCCCGCCCGGCGTGGGCACGAGGCAGGTGTACGAGCTCGGGCAGCACCACGTCTGGGTGTACGTCTGCGCGCTCTCGAGGGTCAGGGTTGTCTCGCACGCTGTTGTCCAGCCGGAGATGCAGGCTGTGCCTGGGTAGGCTACGCTTGCGACGTCGCCTAATTCATCGTCTTGTCAGCGTTGTTTCAGTGCTTTTTTCACAATTTCATGGTTCTCACTGAATGTATTCCCGGATGGTCGCCAGATTGCGGCGTAACTCTCGGGAAAGCATTGCGTTGGTAGGCTGGCTGTGGTCTCGGCCACGACTTGGTCTCGCAGGCACTCGACGTCCCCCGTGAGATCTTCCATCTTGCCCACAAGGCAGCGAATGTCGACGGGAGAGCAGAGGTCGTTGGGTGGTGTGAAGGGGGTTGTCTGCGGTGCCATAGAGAGGATCTTGGTCTGCTGGAAGCCGCCCGGGGTGAAGGTGAGTGTTACGAGCAGAGGCTCGTACGTCGTTTTTGAGGCCATCGCGAGGTATCTGCCTAGTGTTTGCTCGCTTGGTCGTGAAGGAGTATGCTTTTTTCTTTTTGCCTTGACCACACAGGTTGGGGTGAAGGAACACAGAGGGTTCCAAAATTTTCTGCTTGGTTTGTGGGTGCTGGAGAGTATTGGCATCTTTGATGTATGTGACTTTGCTAGTGGCTCAGCGTCCTCGTGGCAAAATTGTCTCCCATCACACAAGGCTTACTCTACCCTCTGTTTGGAGAAGTTGGTCCTGATTTTGGCTGCGCATATCGCTCAGCCTGCTTACGGCCAAGGACCATAGTTATCTAGTTGCATATGTTGTGTTTCCATTACGATAGGCCGAACCTTTCAGAGTGTGGGACGAACCAGTCTGATATTATCAGTCTCTGTCGTGATCAACATGACCACGGCTGCCTCAATATAGGACTTCAGTCATGTAATTCAGAGCGCACCAAGATCGTGCGCACTTAAGGTGTGCTCCAATGCTATGAAAGTAACTATCAAAAAGTCTAAATTGATTAAAGGTGCTCGACTAAAAACGAGACAAGTCCAGATAAGACAGCATTTGCTATGAGACTGACTCTAAGACTATTGCATTCTTACTGTACTCTACCAGAGAATGTCTACGTCTATATTAGAGCAGAGAAAATCCTTCAACGGGTCAGGAGGCGCCGGATCATTTGACAAGCTCATCTGGAACTCAGTCCTCAACTTGGTCATTGGCTGTAATACCCAGGTGTTGAACGACAAAATGTCCGATTCCTCCTTTGGGTCCCTGACGGTGTTAAACAAGTAAGGCGACTCGAGCCGACCCGACGACTGATTGACTTTGGGTTCCCAGACGAGATGCAGCTTCCAGTCCTTCCATTTGATCGCTCGCAGCTCTTCTTTGATGTAAAACAAGAAACCCAGCCTCTCGGATCTGACGCTGGCCGGGTCCTTGAAGAAGACTGTCTGATCGATGCCGTCGATGGGGCGATCGTCTGGAACTCCAGACTTGGTGACGGACAAAATTGTTGTGAAAATGTCCGTTACGTGAACGATCTCGTTGGACGTGACACCTTCTGGAACGTGACGCGGCCACCGTATGATGAAGGGCACGCGCAGGCTGCCTTCCATGGCAGTGTGGTATGTCCCCGACCACGGCCCCGCCGTGCCCCTGTACGGCTCCCTGAACTCGGGACCGTTGTCGGAGGCAAAGATGACGACTGTATTTTCCCGAATTCCGAGGGAGTCAATGTGGTCAAGGATTTGGCCTAAGCGGTGATCCATTTCCGCCATGGAGTCGGCAAAGTCGCCTTGTTTGGTAGTTGCCGCAAAGTCCTTGTGAGGCAGCGTCGGGAAGTGAAGGTGGACGAGAGGGTGATAGAGGAAGAATGGCCGTTCAGCCGCAACTTGACGAGACAGCCAGTCTTTAGATTTCTCCACCAGCATCTCGTCGATGAGTCTCCTGGCCTCCAAGTCGTAGACGCGGACATTCTCTGACTTTTGCCCAGCAACTCCCTTCATGATGTACGGCATTTCCGCCACTTCGGGAGTATACCCAATCGCAGACGTAAACTGCGTCTCATCCGTCGTCCGCGGGATCCCAAACCACTCGTCAAAGCCTCTGTCCGAAGGATACCGACCGGGGACATCTCCCAGATGCCACTTCCCGTGGTGCGCAGTAGCATAGTCGTTCTCCTTGAGACACTCAGCCAGCGTCCGCTCCCACGGAGTCAGACCCTGCGGGAACCCCGCGGGGACGGATTGTCGGCAGCCGGTCCGGATCGGATGCCGGCCCGTCATCAGCGCGGAGCGGGTTGGCACGCAGTCGCTCTCCACGTTGAAGTTGTGCAGCAGGAGACCTTGCGTCGCGAGCTTGTCGATCCGGGGCGTTGCGGCGCCGCGGAGGGCGCCACCGCCGTAACAACCCAATTCACCCCAGCCGAGGTTGTCGGCTAGGATCAGGACGACGTTTGGATGATCTGGGTCTCGAGACATGATGTATGTGCAAAAGATGAAAGATTCGAGCGGAAAGGGGTTGCCTGCAGACAAGAGTTATGAGGAAGGTATCGATGTTGAGCCCCACGTTCGTCTGATTCGCGGGTTGCGTACCATCACGCCATAGACGGAGGTGACCTCCGTCTGCAAACCCCCGTCTACAACTTCATATGACAACAACTTTTTAAGACGCCAACGACGACCCTTAATTGTATCGACTGTAAAGCAGCATTTCAACGTGATGTTTCTTTTCGCGATGAACATGTTCAAAGATAAACTTAACTCGCTTCGTATAATGAAACCTACTGAAAGACACTTACTACAGTTTGATACGATGGAAAGGAAGGGATCGAATTGGCATTGTCTCGAATCGTTGTACTAGTCCAAAACCATTGCATTTCACTTTTCTACTTTTATTCTATAATCTCAACCGATGAGACAATCATTCGCTTAGACGCTATACCATCCTTCCATGCCCCGTGCTACTGCTACTCATTCCGTAGCCCGTGAATATTGGTACAGAAAGAGGTATACTTCTACAAAGTCAGTATGTAATCAAAAACATTGAGCAAGTATAGAAACCTACTTAAACGCAAACGCAGTTGTATCTAGGGTCAAGGTTGAGACCGCAAACGCAACCGCCAACTCCTCCCAAGATGTTTGTGCACCGATCGCCTGCCTTTGGGCACTGCTGCCAATTCTCGCGCTTGACGGCGGGTTGCTCTGATGCAGGCGCGGCCGAGACCAATCCGATAACGAGGGCTACGGCTCCGAAGAGAGTTGAGAACTGCATTGTGGTGTAAGTTGAGGAGGTTTAGTCAGAGGACAGTAGAGATGAGTTATGTCTGAATTATTGAACTGAGGTCTATCAAATGAGTGTAGTACCATGCGGGTGCAGCAACGACGCTTTATGAACACACTATCCTACCGTCGGTGTCCTCGGAATTCGATGATACGAATGTCCCGGGGACTTAAGGCACATGGCCCTTGAGGTAAGGGGAAGATCACGACTGCCAGGTAGATAATTGCCGGGCTGGCCCACGAGGGAAGTCAAGCCACGAACTACGACTCATTCAACCGCCAGATGTGGATAGACATTCGAGAAATATTTAATTAACTTTGGCCTACATTGACAAAAGATGGGTCCGGCTTTCGAATCCCGAACAGTGAGATTCATAAACTAGAACTTGTCAAAGGGCTTAGCTTGGTTAGTTACGCTTTCTTGTAAACCGAATCAACGTCCAGGCCCTTGAAACTGAGAAGCGAAAGCTTGGGCAGGTCGAGCATTTGTGAATAAGTAGGAACTCGGATAGCTCACTTATATCGTATGCAGCTGGCGGTGGGAAACCTTCCCTCACGAGTCATGACGGACGACGAAGATAATGATCAGAGTTGAAGAACATGGATCACTTGATTAAGTTTGCGAACGGAATTACTGAAAGGACCGGCGGGATACGGAATAGGCGTGATGAAGATATAAAATGCCGGTGGGAGGAGAGCTGGGAACCTGGCACGGGGACGAAGGGCCATTCTTGTCTTGTGAATCGGGCTTCGCCGCTTACGTACTTTGTACACGAAGCCATGCCCGATCAATCTCTCCCATCTACAGCCTTGGAACGGGAAACAAGGAGGAGTCTTCAAGATGATTGCGTTCTGGCATGTGGTCCCGTAGTAAAGAATCCGAAAGTACGAGAATATACGAATACTCAAGGTAACAAATACGGTTATAGTAGCTATAAAGGCCGACGGAATCCCTACCAACTGAGGGACGCCCAGGTAACTGGTGAGAACTTTCGCAATAGTCCCATCCTGTTGTACGCGCGGTGGTATGTGTCAGTTGTGTAGCTTATATCAAGGACTCTCTATTGGAGAGAACCTAGATACATCCAATTTGAAATACGGTTATTGAAAACATGAGAAACGAAGTACTCATGGTCCATGGAGACTGCAATTGCCATTCCTGAGCTCGCAACCTGCTGACGGCGATTGTGGGGGATTTCAACGTTGGAATCCACCACCGTTAGAGGACCGTGCGAGACGTACAAACTTTTGGCCAAAGCTGTCTTCCGACACAGTACGTACACTTGTTAAGCGAGTCTTATCGGGGGCGGGGTGGTTCGATAAGGATTTTTTTGCGCCAGGAAAAATTTGGGACACTGAGAGGACGGGATCTTCGACCACATCGGCTTTGACTTGCATCGTCTCTTCCACAGTTGGTCCCCGACGGAATTGGAATACGACAAGCACAATGTCGACTCCAACTCTTGCCGAGAAGCTGGACAAGATCCGCTCCCCGGGTCTTCAAAGTCAAAAGAGGGTAGGCTTTATCGAATGTTTTTATTTCGGCTGTTATCCTTACTAACATGGTTCAAGACTGCCGTAGTCCTCGAGGCGGTCGACACAACACTGAAGGAGCAAAACGCTCAGCCCACACCGACTGGCTACTTCGCCGCCCTTCTCGGCCTCCTCACCCAAGCTGTAGAGAGCGGCAACATCAGCTCCGACACGACGACATCCGTGGTTTACCTCCTCGATATCGTCACCCCGTTTGCGCCTCAACCTATCCTTCGCGCCAAATTCACCCAGATCCTCACCTCGCTCGCACCCGTTCTCCTGCAACAAGATGCCGAAGCCCTCCTCCTTCGCTCGTCTATCGGATGCCTCGAGTCTCTTCTTCTCGCACAAGATGCGGGTGCTTGGGAGCTGGGCGTGACCCAGATCGGCCCGCGCAGAGCCGTCGCCGGTCTGCTCAACCTCGCTCTCGAGCAGCGCCCGAAAATCCGCAAGAGGGCTCAGGAAGCGCTCCGAAACGTCCTCAAGAACCCGCCCCCGAGCCCCTCACTCGATCACCCGGCTGCGGATATGTGCGCTCACACCGCTCTCGCTAACCTCGAGGATATTGCTGGAAAGGCCGCGGCGGCAAAGAAGCAGAAAGGAGCCGAGTCTGCCCACGATCCCGCTCTGATCCACGCTCTCCAGCTCATCAAGACCATTGCCTCTGCAAGTGGTGGTTGGCCCAG